AAACCACTCTGCCAGGAATCAGCAGGGGGGAGAGTCACATCTCCCTCACCTTTGGGTTTAGACCTGTGCATTCCAGTGTGGTCCTCCGTGGCATATGTGCCCATTCGTGTTTCAATAAATGAAAAATTCATAACCTCCTCACAAGAGCCATACTATAAGTTCCCAGTTGCCAAATGTCTACTCTTAAGAGAGCATCTCCATTCTCCCTGAATCACCTGGGAAGCAGCTGCTGTGAGTCTGGCCCAGATTCTGTTCACTGCACTCACCTGCCTCAGTGCATGTGCATCAAGGCTGGAATCTCGGGTTCTCAGACCGGAGGTAAGAGATCCTCTGAGCCAGTGTCGGTGAACAGTTGAAAGGGATTGTTCGGGTTCTCTGTCTCACCTGAAGGCTCCCAACTGTGAGCAGGGCCTTCCTAACGGCCCCTGAGTTCACAGAGCCCAGGGAGAATCACCGTGGACTGAGCAGTAGTGCCGACGTTTGTGACTGTGTACTTGGGCTCATGGGCACCACCTCTGGATCCATCCAGGGGGAAATAGACTGGTCAGGTAGGGACCGACACGCCAGGGTTGACCAGTGAGAAGGGTTCTTGAGGATTGGGTGACATTTGTTTTGGAGCCTAGGATGGGATCAGTGAAGTGACTAAATATGAAAGGAAATAGGTGTAGAAGTGTGATTTGGTTTATGTATCTTAATGAGAAAGTTGTAAGAGTTTTGTTCTCATGAGCTTTGTGTGAGTTGTGGTGTCACCATCGTTTCTTGCTCTGGTGTTTAAAAATTGCATTTTGCAAAGACCAGATCATTCCTGCCTTTGCCACAGCAAGCACCAGAGCCCTGGGTTTGATGAGGCAGCGTTTTGTTGTGAATGGAGATGACAGGATGAGTGTGCAGGTGTAACGTTGAGTGTCGGGGGGGACGCAGCCCCTCACAGGTGCTACGGGATCCTGAAGACAAAGTCCTTCATACGTGTGCCAGGAGCTGAAAGGAACCCACCCTCTTTCTCTACACTCTCGGGACCTGCAACGGCACCTTCCCGTCCTGTCCTCAGCGTCTGCTGCTGCTCTAACGGTGCTCCCTGGGTGGGATGACACAGGGAGTCCTTCCTCTGGGATTCCTGCGTGTGCCCCGGCATCCTGGAGTCCTGAGGGCGGAACACATGCTAGAGCACAGTTTTGGCCTCCACTCCTCATCCAATCCCATCCAATCCCAAATCCGTGGGCTTTGAATGAAACCTACATTGGCTTTCATTGGAGAGGCCCGAGTCCAGCTGTGGCTCAAGGCCCTCTGTGGCTGGCAGGAATCCTCGGGGATATGTGTGGAGGGGCTGCTGTGTTGCTGTAGGCAGTGGCTCTCGCCCTCCCTGTAGCCTGGTCCCTGGAATCCACTGGGCCCAGGGCAGAGCCTCTGGGCAGCCACCACAGGGGTCACTTGTCTTGTGACACCCTCCTCTCTGGCCCAACAGCCTCGTCCTGCTCCCCACACTCCAGTCAGGCCCAGCTTTTTCTGTGTGTCAGGCCTGCCAGGTGCCCTCCCACCTAGTCTTCCCACAGCTCAGGCAAACCCTGGGAGGCCCCCTCATTTCTGTGCTGACAACTGCTGGCCTCACCTGCAGATTAAAGCAACTGGGACAAGAGGCTTTATCTTGAATTCTGTTCCATTGTTTCCAAATACTCAGAAGCTGGTGGGATTCGTTTGACGACTGAATATTTTCCAAGCCTCTAAGGTCATTCCAGGCGTAGAACAGTCACTGTATCTGTGACGTCATTCATCATCAGCTCCCACAGCCCCCAACAGAACCCCAGGCCTGTGGACATCGGTCATGATCACCTCCCACGGGCCCCAACACAACCCCAGGCCTGACTGAATCTGTGGCATTGGCCATCATTGCCTCCCACAGCCCCCAACACAACCCAGGCCTGGGCAGGTGCTGCCGACCCAGGGTGCGATCTGTGTGTTGACTGGAGGCTGGCAGCGCAGCCTTGGCCTTCTTTCCGATGTTCTATTGGAAACCAGTAGGACTGGTGGAGGTCCACAAGGAGGAAGGAAATGGGATTCATGAGGGAACAGAATCAGGCCCTACAGGAGGAGGAGGGAGGGATTCCACGTCATGCACAATGTTGTGAAGAGGGTGGCCGCCTCTTGGAGGAACAAACAGAATGACACGGCTTCCCCTCCCTTGGCTCAGTTATGGAATGTGAGGGCTGGGAAAGTGTGTGGGAAGTCAGAGGTCCCTCCCTCATAGCACAGAGGAAATAATACAGGCTGAGGAGAAGTCTCCAGAAATGGGCACATCAGAGGCTCTGGGGTTGGCTCCACAGCCCCAGGACAGCGGAGTCTGAGGGGTTCTCTCGACAATAACTCTCCCCTTTCCTTCTTACGGCCGCCCCCATCACCGCTGCTCCTCCGGACACTCTGATGC